CTATGGCAGTTTGAAACAGTATTGCAACTGTACAATACACACCTAAAAAAAATCATACATGTATGAAAACCTTTTAAAGACCAATTATATAAAAAGCATTATATAAATGAAAGGTAAATTATCTAATAGGATATCAAATTTAACAGCTTTAAGAACATTGTAATGCAGGAACACAAAGTAAATTTCAGCTTAAGTAGGCCACACCCACACAGGATGTCCGTTTTTGATCACAATAAGCCTAAAAATGCAGCACTTGAATAAAGCCATGCCAGCCTGACATCTGTTTGATTTATGCCACTGAATTAACACAGAGCAGGTGGACAAAGGCCCTAGTTGTGAACATACAAAAGAGAACTGGCGTAGCTTTAAATCTATATTAACGGTAATAATTTAAACACTATTAAACAATTTATGCTGCTGTACCTGAGCATGGTAAGCATTTCATGCACATTAAATCTGGCTTTATACATATTAGAAAGTTATGGCTTTTTTCCCATAGCCTTCTCGAACGCAACATTAAGCTTGTCCTCAGCTACAGACATCGTCTGCCTTCCCAACATGACTGCTGTAGAGCAAATGAGTCAAAAAAACAATCCCTGCTTGTTTAACCGAGCAGCTTACAGGTCTGAGTGACTCTTTGGAAGGAAAATACTGACCAGCTGTTCTGCTTTAGTAGCATCGAAAGGTTCTAGTTTTTTGGACATTTCTCTTTTTTTGTCAATTTTCCTCTTCAAAGGCTGCTGTGAGTGTTTATTATAGGAAATTATTTTATTATAGGAAATCATGGTAATCTCTCATGTATGATGGTGGCCATTATAGATGATGCGGAAATAAACAACAGAACAATTTAGGTCAGAACAGCACCTAACTCTGTATTTGAGGTGAATTTTCTGCTATCATCGCTTCACTTTTTACATGACAAAGATTCAGTTTATTTATTGATTGTTTCCTATTAAATTACAATATTAGATGGATTCATTTATTAGGATGGGAGAAGTGTTTTTGTTGTTGTTAGGTGAACTATCAAATGGTATTCCAGTAAGCATCAAAGTACAGGTATGTTTTTACAATAAAGTATGTATGACTGGAAGAAATTTAAAGATTTTGTGGCCCAGACATAGCCTAGTAAACTAGCCCCACCCGCCAGTGGCCACAATCATTTTTGCCTCATCAATTTTTTAAAAGGAGGTATTCGCCTTTTTTCCCACCGGGTTTTTTTTTTCCTTTTCCCCACCACCTTTCTGTCGCGTTTACTTACTTCGCCACAGTCAGTCGCGCTCATTGGTCAGAGCGTTGGCCAATAGGCACAGACATGGTTTGAAAGACAATGGGTTGTTCTCTTCAACAATCTTACGACGTCTTATTCATTGGGGCCAGACTAAATTACACATTTAATCTCACATTTAGTCTGGTTTATCAGGCTAGCCCAGACAGAGTCATGACTTCAATCTGAGGCCTCATCTATAGCCCCATATACACTACCCTTTTGAAACCGTGCTGAAATTGGTCCTAGCACGCTAACCGAGATAACTGTTGAGCGTAAATGGCAGGCACAACTGAACCGGACCATGCCAGACACAACCAAACCACACTAAAATGGTACTAGTTCATGAGTAGGGCTCGGCGCGGTTCAGTTGTGGCTCGGTTCTAAGATAACATAGAGCGCATGAGCAGACCACATCTTCTCCTTACAGTCAGCCTCCGTAATCATGAAAATTCAGACTAAAAATACTATCTTCCCTACCTGGCCACACGATTTCCAGCGATGATTCTGCTTAGCAGTGTGATGAATCTCAACGTCTGTTGTTGTTTTCTACGTCTGTAAGCCCTGATTAGACTATCGTCTGTCGTATCCACTTTCCAAAAGCCGACTGTCAAGTAAATGTAGGGTAAAACTACTACCTGGCCTTTTAGATGGCTTTTCCTATCACTACTAGAACAGCAAGCTGTCATAACCATGTTAGCAGTCCAAGCTCTGGAAGGGACTGTTGCCATGATACACCAGCTGCTAGAGAAACAAATGCTCAAGATCGTCTTGAAGACGCAACTTGTGTGCGTTAATGCTGCTGCATCAGTAGGTAAAATAATGTGTGCTGTTGAGTTCAATCTTTGTACACTTTAATGTGAATGATGACATCAAGGCTACTATACAGCGTATATAACCTGGCATAATTCAGATTGATACGTGTAGCTTAATTTGAATTCTACACAGCATCCGTATGGAAAGGTTCATGTTTAAAGTGTTTGCAAAAGGGAAGGGGGTATTCACTATGCGAAGTGGCCACCAGCCATCCATGTTGAGCTTTAAGCCAATCGCAGCAGCAGCTGTGATGCATCATGTTCTTGATTTGCTGCAAAAGTAGCGGAGTTAACTGATGACTTAAACTCTTAGGAATGTAAAAAAAAATAATAAATAATCTTTATTGTGCTGAAGAGGCTAGGGTAGCATTTTAATCATGTCCTACTTGCTCTATAGCATGATTGTATGTCACTTTGGAGAGTTTTATTATGTATTTATTTTTCACCCCCTCTCTACTTTGGCTGTTCTATTCATGTTTTGCTCAGTTTTACATGCTGTATCCTATATGGTGTGTGTGTGTTTGGAGGGGTGGGGGTTTGGGGGTCTGTGCGTCTGTGACAGACAGAGAGAAAAAAAAGACAAAGAGGGGGCGAGGGTTCTGCCTAGTCTGTGGGAGCTTCAGTAAGCCGAATGCTCCCTGACACGGAAGCACATCATTGATTAATTTTTTTTTTTTTACTCAGTTCAAGTGTGACCCATACAGAGTCATTGTCCTGATGGTCAGAGGGCCTTTGCACCTCCAAGCTTCACAGTGTTATGTAAACTAGAACTTCACCTGGTGATCTCCCACCGGGTCCCTACATTCCTGTGAAGCAAGCCCAGTCTGTGCGCACCTTTCTGCCTTCAAAGTTAAGATAATTCCTCATGACGAATACCTTCATCTCCCAAACTGCGATGGCATCGTCAGACAAGTTTGCTTTCTAACTTTACAAAAACAGAAGAATCAAAGTTTAGTTTGGCGTCTGGTACCGTTTCTTCTCCCACCACACACCTGTTAGTGAGGGGAGAGAGCAGCCAAGACACTGGGAGTCATTGCGACTCTCTGCTGAAAGCAGCATTGCTGCCAACCATCGTCTATGGAGACATTTCATCTCTGTGTTACATGTTAAACAGTTCAATATTAATAGTCTGTCCTAGAGAGAAGCACAACCCTAATTACATATGATTCCCACCCAGAAGACGTTCAACCATGTAGAGTTGGGCAGTTATTAAAAAAACAACCCCTTGTTGGATCTTGCTTATTACTTTTTAATGGGCTTAATTTTTGTAGATTTCATTTAATACCTTTTATTACCTTTACAACCCCAATGATATTCGGTCTTTTACTGTCTAAATCTTCTTACTCTGCACCATACGTCAAGTTTCACCAAACATATTTCATACAGAGCCTAAATACATACATTACAGATATGTCATGTTTTTTTAGGGCTGTCAGAAATTCATCTTAATATTTACAGGATTTGTAATTAATAAATCTAATTAATGGCATTTTTATCGTATATCTGCTAAAGCCGTCATCAGCAACATTGGTGTTCAAGCGCTGCAGTCCTTTGTTTCCCATGATGCAACCCTTCTCCCACACAGCCTATGAACTTCTGTATGGAGACTAATGCTACGTTCAGACGGCACGCGCTAGAGGCAGCAGAAGCAGCTAGTTTACATGCAAAGTCGATGGTTGACGTGCATCAAGGCACAGCAAAAGGTCCTGCAGATCATTTTGAGCAGCAGGAGTAGCGCGTCTGAGCAGCTGAAGCAGCGCCTCGTGAGCTTCTGAGCATCTGATGCACGTGACGCGCTGTAAAAGCAGCAGATGCAGGAGTTGGAAAAATTGAAGTTTTGCTGCTCAGCGTGCCACATCAACCAATCAGAGATTAAGTTTTCAGGTGGACTTTCTCACTGAAAAACATATTAAAACTACTTTTTACCCACTTATCACAGCAAATATAGCGAAGACACTCTCTGCCATTTAACACAGGAGCAGCAGAAGCCTCAGACGCATCTGGACACACTTTATTGGACGTCTGACCCTAATGTGGACAAGCATTAAAAAAGAAGCAGCAGAAGCTTTTTCACTGCTTCCAGCACTTAGGGTCTGAGCGTAGCATTACTGATTAGGATCAGGTGCTTTGGGGCAGAGGAATTAGATAACCTTACAGGATGAAGTTCAAGGTTTGTCATCACTGTTCTAAATGTACCTAAATAAAGAATTTAAATTCTAGGACATTTAAAAATTGTAGAATACGGCTAATCAGTCTTCCTGTGGTGATTTTGCTAATTCATTTACCTCATTCAGCAGGCGTGGGTTGGTGAAGTGTGCTCACTTTGGCAATAGCAGCTGCAGCCACATAACTTCTCTCAACATGTTTTACATTTATATGCTCAGTCATCCTGGAGCAGCAAAGAAAAACTTTTTTTTTTTTTTTTTTTTACAATAATTACAAATCATCTTGCTGTAGTTAGCAGTCCTATATTCGTTCTTTTTAAAGTAAAATTTGACATTTATTGCTTCTTCTTAAAGCAGTAATGCTTTAGATGCATTACTGTCAGTCACTGCCTGGGTTATTCTGTGGCCTAAATTTAAAATGCTTTTGTGTTGAATTGGCACTTTGATTGATCGTAATTGTTTTCATAGCGGATTTGCAGTGTAATTAATGAATTAATCTAATTGACACGTTAAACTGACAGCCCAAGATTTATTTAAACTTGATTATACTTTTATACCATTTTATCATCTTGAGATCTACCTTACTTCCTTACCAATTAAAGAAAAACTAAAATCTGTCAGTTAAATGAAAATTAGTTAAATTCTGAAACCAGGGAATATGATCAAATTTCTTCCAAATTTGAATGAGGAAGTGATTTGTAAAAAAAAAATACAAAAAGAAGGAGTAATCCTTTTTCGATGAAGACAGATACCCACCTGTCTTTCCAGTGTTTTTCATGGTTGTCTGGTTGGACGACTCAATGTTAAACTTGTCGAGCTCTAGCTCCTGGTACTCGTCCAGCACCAAAGCTTGCTCATCAGCAATATCCACAGGTGATTGGTTCTTTGCAGCACACTCTGGGTAAGAGGTTGCCCAGGCTCGAGGCCCATGGCTTCCTGCAACATGAAAAAAACAAAGAAAAATGATATAGAAAACCCAGAATATTGCCAAAAGGAAAGTGATAACCTCAACCTAAGCGAATAGACAACTATACTCAGAATTAAAAGCGCTATTGCTTCTGCAGCAGTCTGTAGGTAATCAGAAGCACCAGGAATGGCGAAGAAGCAGACAAAGATATTCATTTAGCTGTGAATACAAAGAAAAGGCACCATGTGAGTGCAGGTAATCCCAATCTCAATGATCCATTTAAAATTTAAATATCATTATGACAGCCATGAAAACTAAATTAGAATATTAGAACCCTTTTCAGTTAATCTGCAAGTTGTTTTGAACTAGAATAAATAGTAATAATAACATTTTTAACTATGTTTTAATGGTTCACAAGCAGTATATGCAGCAGAATAATGTTCTGTACAATCCCTATTCACTCTCTGCTCTTTTAATCCTCTATCCCCTACAGTGGCACTTCTACAAAGGAATAATCCACAACCGACAGGGGTCCCCTTGATCTCTTCCAGGCTACAATTGGCCAACGCAACAACAAAAGCCGAGGGATCAGGGGAACAAGAAGGCATGCGTGGATTTTAACTTTTCTGGGTTAACACAATATTCATGATCTCATTCCCTTCAGATATAGGACAACTTTGCTATGAGCTCATAAAAGAAATATAAGAACTCCCCGTCAGTTAAAATAAAGGAGGAATGAAGGGTGCTTTATGTACGGCTGTGTATAAACACCTTGCAGCTAAACAGCCTGTGCTCGACTCTTTCAAAAAGACAATGTGATCTAGGATTATTTTTGAACCAAGCAGATTTTGCCACTTCAACCAGTGAATGGCGCACACAGAAGGGATGAGATTGTATAAAGGTAAATCTGGAAAAGTTTTTATTTATTAATTCTGAGACCTAATCACTGAGGATGTTAGAATAACAATTAATGAAACAATGCCGCCAGAAACACTATTAACACTGTAACACTGATTACTTTTTACATTACAGTCATTCTGAAATACAGTTGGGATTCTTTTACTTTCTCTCAAAGACATTGTACAGAAAGTAAATTTAAAAGCACTTTTTATTTTGTTTTGTCATCCATGGCCAACTATTTTGCTACCCTAACTCAGAAATATCTCAGTCTGGAAACACATCAGGTACTAGTGCAGTTTTGGATGTTTTATTCTTTTTGGTAAACTTGGTCAGATTGGCCATCAGCGGTGGGCTTCTTCAACAAATCCTTTATGCTGGTCTTCTTTCATACTGTAGACAATTTACCCAGCTCCTTTAAGTCTGTATCCTAAAAACGTAACCACAGCATGATGCTGCTACCACCATGCTTCACATTAGGGATGAAGTTTGCTCATGTACCACTTCCATTTTTTACAACAAATGACACTTAATTATCACAACTTGGTGATAATTAGGCTCTTGGTCAGCTCACCGACAAAGGTCCTCTGTCCCTAAATAGTGGGTTTGGTTGAGCAGCCAGATCTGAAGGGAGTCCTGGTGGTTCTAATGGGTTTTCCATTTCTAAACACTTAAGCAAACAGCTTGTTTCTGGATATTCAGTAAAGCTATTCCTCTACCATTTTGTGCTTTAGCACAGTTCAATCTCTGAGGTCCAGAAACTTTATTACAGTGTTACACTCAAAATCCTGTTAAACAGCTAAAGACAGCACTGGTGGAGTCCAGATAACCTACAGAGGCATCTCTAGGATGATCACTGAAAATCAGAAGCACCTCACTTCAATTTTTAGTGTCATAGAAAAACGAGTTTGAATCTTGTTTGGTTTAAACATTTATTTCCAATTAATGTCTTAAAAGGAAGTCAGAATTTACACTTTATTTTCTTAATGTGGCATATTTGTCTGTAAAGTTTAAGTTTAATAAAACACTAATCTTAATAGGTTTAAGGATAAGCTTGCTTTATAATCATGTACAAGTAAAGGGGTGTGAATACTTTCAGCTGCACAGTATAGCTGCAAAGATAAACAGTGAAAATGTTGCAAAGAGAATTTGCAATACAGTGGATTTTTAAAGGCCTGAATTGGGTTGAATTTAACAATACATCTAAGCTGAATGTAAAACTAATGACTCTATTAGCAAGCAGGATTAACTTTGTCAGCTAGGACTATAGATTTAATCAGATTTCTGCAGCACTAATGCCACAATATTTCATATCATGTGATATAGCCCATTATAAATGAAACATTAATAGTATGAGGCAAAGTGAAAGCTGCTTGTCAATCATAACACATGAGGATTTACATAATATGGAGCAAATCCTTGCAATATTTTGATAAAAGCCTTATGCATGCAAAAATTTCTATTAAGACTTTGTTTACAAAAAAAAAACAATTCAGTATATTCCATTCCATTTGATTTGTGCTTGCTAAGACGTTAGCCATGATGCAGCTTATACAAAATGGAAACTGTGGGAAGTCCAGTCAACTGCCTGCGGCACTGTTGTAAGAGATTTTGATTCAAAGATAAAAGCTCTTTGAAGCAATCTATTTTTCATATCAACAATGAAAGAAATAACTCCCCCTTTGTAATGGCCTTGCTACTATAAGGCTAATCTGACTTTGAATCAACCGCCTCATCAAAATGGAGCAGCTGAAAGAAAGTCAATCATCTGCCAACAGAGGCAACTATAAAAGGCTGCAGTGGAAGGTTTGATAAACCAGGACTAAAACGCAAAGCATGGGATCGCAAAGTGGGTGATCCCAGCGCTTTATGCGCACCATCCAGCAATATCACAATACATTTTTTTTATTATTATATCTTAAAGGCATTTTGCCATGCTTTATCCACATATGAAAATCCTGTGTCAGGTGTTTATCCAGTGGCCAAGACTTCAATCAAAAGATCTAAACAAAATTTTTCTCTAGGTCTGTATACAACCCAACATGCATTTCATAACATAGTTTGGATCGATATTAACATAACTCATTTTTATTTATATATATATATTTAACATACATATTTTGTTTGTTTTGTTTCATTATTGTATTTTACTCTTAATTGGATTATTCGTAACATTTTCTTTTCTTTCTTTCAAATGGCCATTGTGGTTTTTATTTTTATTGTTTTAATGTGTTTTTATCTTTCCTATACAGTCTAGATTGTTTTTTTCATAGTTTCTTTTGTCTTGTGTCTACCTGTATACTTCTATTTGCCTGTTTGCTTTGCCGCCAACACACCTGAATTTGCCCACTGTAGGACAACACGGGATATTTTTATTTTATTCTAATAAAACGACAGCAAAGATATTGACAAAAACAAGCGAAAGAGCGACACCCTGGAGCACTGATCTTAGTGTCTGTTCGGAGAGGAGGAACTGAGACTTCAGCCTATACTAAATTGTACATTTTAAGGTTTGAAACTAAACGATATCATATGACCTGCAACTTCATTAATAATTGATGTCAAAATAGAAAAATTGAAAAGTTGTGTCTGTTTAACATTTCTTCCTTTTTGCCAGTTTTTCATCCAGTGTTGTTCTTTGCAAACATGCCGCCCATTTATTGATCTGGCACTAGAAACTAAGAGCTTTATTACATTCCTAATGGTGTCACTATGCTTTCCTATGTTCTGCATGGATAAGATAAAGCAATGAGGGACGCTTTCAGCAGAGCTAGGAAAAATTGAGCTTAAAACCAAACTAGATGCAGAAATGTTTTGCTTGATATGGCAATTTATACTTGAATATTCACAATATTTTCATTTCATATCATATTACACCCCATGTGTGGGGGAAAAAAGTGTGATTCATCCAACATTTGTTTTATCATCCTGCCAAATCACCTGGTTCTGGTTACACTCCTGGAAGCATTTAACAGACTGAATGCATTTACGTTTTTGGTGGTAAAAAGAAAAAGATGTCCTTTACCAGCAGGCGTCCTGAACATGACTATTTGAAGATATAAATACAAACTGATATTTCTTTCCATCTTACAATAAATCTTAATGAGACATATTTACTCTGAAATTTGCAGTGCTACAGAAAGGCTTTGTACGCTTTGGTTTCTGTCACCCTCAAATTCCTCAGAGAAATAATATTGTAATCAAGACCAAAAAATAATCTGAGCAAATTAAAAAGCTGAATGAAAAAGGCATTTGTTTTATGATTTGAAACATTTAAACATGAAATAAAAAATCAGTAGCTTGTCACAGCAGTTTGCAAAGCAATAAGTGTAGCAACATTTGATTTCTTTCTTTCTTTAGTATGTGTATATATATATATATATATATATATATATATATATATATATATATATATATATATATATATATATATATATATANAAAAAAAAATAAATTACAGATACACTAGTCTATAGTAATTATTATTTCAAACCACTGTCCGTCCAATTCAATTTTTTTTAATCCATATTCTTGTCAGAATTTAAATTCCACCAGCATTTTAAAACTGTTTGAAATATTATTTTATGACACTTAACTTTTTTTCTTTTTTATTTATTTATTAGGTTTTAAGGGTTTCCAGACAAGAAACAAGTATTTAATTGATGTTTCTTTTTGGCTATAGTAGAGAAAGAATTATAATATGTAAAAAAAAATGTTATCACCACTTTTTATTACATTAAACAAATCATAATAACTTTTATAGTTCCATCATTTTTGAATTGGCTAAAATGGTAAAAATAATAAATTGCTGTTTACCTTCCATGAAGTAAACAATGCCTGATGAACATTGGAAGAGATGATGAACAAAAATGAAAGAGAATGATAAATAAAGTAGATCTGAAGCATTTTTCTTAACTATAAAAGCATGCAGGCCCATAGGGAACCATTTCCATTGTAGTGTAAGGTGGGAGGACGTGTTTAAAGCTAAAAAAGAGAAGTACATTTTTTTGCATCTTTTGCCAGTTTTGCATTCATACACAAATTAAATCTCATTTACTGCTGGAGGGATCTTTATGCCTTTTAAGAACCGAGAAGGTGGTGCAGTCCCAGAAATCAGATAAGTAAGGGTTTG